TTTCGAAGTCACTAAATTACCCACGCAGAGCTTGAACTTGACATCCTCCTGCCTTAGCCTCCCAGAGTGCTGGGATTACAGGCGTTCACCACCGTGCTTGGCAGTCCTTCATTTTCTGCAGTTAAATTGTCCTAGATCTGACCATTGAGAGTCCCTTTTAGCTGGCTCTTTTCTACTTGTGATATGCCTACATATTCTTCTGGTTTTTGTTTCATTAGCACTTTTTTACTTTCTGGTATAACAAAATGTTCCAGAACTGTTCTGGCCTCCTTTGTTCCCACCCTACAGATGTTTGAAGTTTGTCTCCTATTTTGATTTTGATTTGTAACTTAGTCATAAAATTGTGGAAAACCCATCTCTCCTATTTTTGACCCACCAGCTCTTCCTCCTACATGTTCAGCTCATAAATATTTACTCCTTCTTTTCCATGTGCATGACATTGGCCTAGGCACTGTCAGTTATGGTAAAGAACTAGGCACTTTACAAACAAACTCCTTGAACTCACATAATGGCCCACTGTGGCAGTTTCTGTTTATTGTCACCACTTCAGAAATTGAAGCCCAGACAGGGTAAGTCACTTGCCTGAGGTCCTGCAGCTAATAAGCAACAGAAGTAGGTTTAACCAAGTCTCTTAACCCTGTGTGCTGCTGGTTTGAGATAAGGGCCTTCTTCCCAAATGAAGTTGTAAAAAAAAGAGTTTAAAATGAAACAAAGACAGTGTGTTAGGCAACAAATTCTATAGAAGCTTAGAAGACATTAAAAATCATTTCAATAGCATCTCAGTGCCCACCATGTGGCAGGTGGGTACTAAAGGCTGGACACATGAGGATAAATGAGACAGTGCCCCTGCCTTTGTAGAACCTGAGGTTTAGCAGCAATTTCTTTTTTCTTTCTTTCTCTCTTCCCCCCCCCTCTTTGAGACAGGTCTATGTAGCCCAGGCTGGCCTTGAACTCGTAGCTATTCTCCTGCCTCAGCCTCTCAAGTATTGGGATTACAGGTGTATCAGAGATCAATCAATCCTCTGACTGCCTAGAAAGGGGGATGGTGAGGGATAAAGAAAAAGAGACAATAGAGACTTTTGTAATTTCAAAGTATATGGGGGCTGGGAGGTCAGTGCCTCAGAGCTAGCAAAGACAAAGAGACTCTGAGCTTGCTGCTATTTATTGGGGTCCTAGGGAGAATCAGCTGACTCAGAGGTTGGCAATAATCCCATGATGATGAGGAAGTTATGCTGATGAGGATCTTAGGTAGATGAGGGTCTTACAGTTGGTTAGGACAGTGAGATGAGCAAAATGTTCTTACAACAGTCGGTGGGATGAGTTAAGCTGACAAGGAATTTGTCCCTCCCCAGGTGAAACCCTTCTCTTTTTGTATTACTACTCAGTTCTCAAAGACCCAGGATGTCTTCAGCTGATGTAATCTTGCCCTTGAGCATCACAGCATCACAGGACCATTGAGACCTCAGGCAGCTCTAATCAAAATTTAATTGTGAAATGATTTTTTTCCCCAAAATTATGTAGAATGGCTCCCAACACAGGTGTGCACCACCACGCCCAGCTAGCAGCAATTTCTTTCTTAAGAGACAAAATCTTGCTGTATTCCCCAGACTGGGGATCAAGGAATCCGGCTGCCTCAGCCTCCGAGTAGTTGGGACTATGGGCATCCACCACCTCACCCAGTTTAGCAGCACTTTCTTACTGAAGTCAGGATTTACACAAATAACAACAGGCAGAAGGAGCGTGGTTTATAGCCACATAGACAGCTACCCCCATGCAAGAGGAACTCGCCTAATTCTGGTCTTTCCTATTAATCAGAAGACTCCTCAGCACTAAAGTCCAAGAGCTATCAGGTGAGTGCTTGCAATTGAAGAGACCAAGGAAACTATCGGGAAGAGGAGGGGTTGAGCTGAGGGTTCAGGGTCAAGTGAGAGGTCAGCAATGTTCACCGCCAACCCAGGTCTGTGCCTGTCACAGCAGTTAACATCCTGTAGAGGAGCTGAGAATTAAATGTCACCCCTCCAGAAAGTGACACGTTTATTTTTGCAGTGCTAAAAATTGAACCTAGGGGCTCATGCATGCTAGGCAAGTGAAGCACCACAGCCCCTCACTAGCCAGTGCCCAAACCACTACCCACAAACTGCAGGCTCACCCACATTGGGCCGGGCCAGTGCGTGTATGGCCTCATGCACTCATACATGGGGCTTTGGGAGATGGCTGGATCATGGGTGTGTGATGCTGGATTAGGGTGTGTGACACTAGGATTAAGGGTGTGTGATAACTAAATTGGTTTAGCATAGTTCTGGGTGTGGATAATGGAAGCCCCATTTTGGGTGTGGATGCCACCAATCAATAGGTTTATAGCCTTGATGGAATATAAAAGGACAGAAAGAAGGAAGGCTTTTGGCTTGCTACCTTCTGCCTACCCTGCCATGGACTGTTTCTCCTTTGTGATGCCCCTCTGCCATGCCACCCTGCTTCGAAGTCTGCCAACTATGGACTGAAACCTCTAGCAACTGTGAACCAAAATAAACATTTCTTCCTTTAACTTGTAGGTGTCAAGTATTTTGTCTCAGCAACAAGAAAAGTAACTAAGACACCAGGTCAAATCCTCCCAGTCTTCACTCTTGCCCACACCATCCCCTTCCACGTCCAGGACCAATCCAAATGTCTTCTCCTCTTGACTCCAGATAGCTACCCCAGGTTAAATTGTTCAGTTGTTCCCTTACCTATATTTCCACAGCACTTTTTACATGTCCTCATTTTGGTGCTAACCATGCATTATCGTGCCCTGTTTACATTTCTAGCTAGACTAAACTTTAATATCCTCAATGTGGAGAGAAAAGTAATGCTTTTCCTTATTTTTCAGATGAGAAAGCTGTTGTGCAGTGAGATGATGTTGACAAGGCAGTAAGGCACAGGGTTAAGAGACATGGCTAGAGCTGCTGCTGCTGGACCTCAGGCAGGACTTAACCTGTCTGGGCTTCAATTTCTGAAGCTGTTGACAATAAATTAAAACTGACACAGAAGGCTTTACTGTGGATTCTGGGAGGTAATACAGAGTCTGGGAAAGTGTCTGGCACACATAGAGTACTGTGTGAATGTTTAGTAAGTGAAGTCTGGTTACTGCAATTCAAATCCAAGACTAGAGATACCAAAGCTCCAAACTGGTGCTCTATTTTAACTTTATAGGGGTCTAAGTCATGATTCTATTAGAGGCAGCAATAAAAGGAAGCTGGTTCAGAGCAAAATCTTCCAGCAAACTGTTGGACCAGGGAAGGGAGGTAGTGCCCCATTCTCGAGACAGAGTCTAGGTCACATGGTGACACCTCCAGGCAAGAACAACTAAGGGAGACTGGTATTGCTGGTCCCTCTTGAAATCTCTTTACGTCTTTCCTCTTGAGTCATTTGTCTTAGACATTTGGACTCCTGGGGTGACTTGCTTCAAAAATTCTAACTGTGCATCCAGATTTTGCAAGATGGCACCATTAACAAATGGCAAGTGTCAGTGATTGCTTTGTAGAGAATCGGTGAAGACATTGGTTGATTTTTTGAATCTTACATGTGCTAAAATGGGGATTGGCAATAATGTTCACATGCCCAAGGCAAGGATCATTTTTACTTAATAGTGTGTATAACTACACAGCTGAAATCTATTATTATCAATGTGGATGTAGTTAAAAGTGGTGGACTGAACTGTGATTATTCTGGCAGATGAGGCACAAGACAATTGTGAGTTGAGATATAAGAATATGTGAACGTTGATACTTAACCAAGCAGGGAAAATACCACAATCATGAAGAATATGTGAATGTTTTCAGTTTAGGGCCCATGAACAAACAGTGCTTGTCTACATGTTGAAGAATTCATGATTAACCTTTTGCAAGACAGTGAGTATTAGAATAAATGGTCTTCCTTACTAGGGCAGGATTTAAAACAACCATTCTCAAGCATAAGTCAGAATCACCCTCAGGGCTTGTTAAAACACAGATTGCTAAGCCTCACCCACAGAGTTTCTGATTCAGTGTGTTGGAGCTGGGACCCCGAAATCTGTGTTTCTAGCTAGTTGCCAGGTAATGCTTATAGTGCTGGCTCAGTGACTGCAGTTTGAGTGAGAACAAATGTCCCCTGACCTGTAGAACCTTACCACCACCTGGGCTGGGATACAAACAGAACGGGATTTGTTTTAAGTAGGCCACCTTAAGCAACCACTTTTAGCATTTGTCAGGCCAAGAGAGATATGGCTTCATTGTTTCTCTGGAAGAAAAAACGGAAGAAAAAATGTCTTTGTGATGGAGACTTGAGAGAACCCTCATAGTTAATTAACTGCAGCCTTAACTGCATGTTTCTGACATCTTGATAATTAAACACATTTAGACTTCTTGGTGGTTGCCAATCTTTTTATGAAATAATTTAAAAGTACTGTACACTCTTCCTGGAGGTCAGTCCTTGGTCTAACGGGTTGAGCGGAGGTGACCAGCAGGTGGCGCTCTTAGTCAGTTCACCGGCGGCTGCAGGGACGGGGTGAAGGAAACCAACCGTCTAAGCCAAGGTGCCTGCTTTAAATCCTCAAAGTAGGGTCCTCTTAACCACTTGTCATAAAATACCGAGACACACATCTTGGAAAATCGAAGTGTCAAGCTCAGCATCTTTGCCACATTTCACACTCGGTAATTACCTCCTCTCCCAAAGGGAATCTGTTTTATGTATTTGTTTGCTTTCTAGGTTACAAGTTTCCCAAAGGCAATGATCTTGCTGCCTCTCTCTGTACACAATGCTGAAGTGAAATGCACATTTTACAATAGCAATTTAATTATTCTACATACCTCTGAGCTACGTGATGACCTGTTATATAATTGCTAGTAATACAGAAACCTATATAAACTCTTGCAATAAATGGAAGCTTTTATTTGACCTTGAAATAAATTGCTTATTTACTTTTCCTTTACAATAGAAAAAGCAAACCATTTTCCCACTGTCATTATCAAAGAAACAACACTGCATTTTAGTCAGTTGTTTTTATTAAGTCTGCAGAGGTGGGGTTTTTTTATTTTACTACACACAACAAATACTTTGATATAATCCAAGATAATAAAATAGTTGAACAACTTTGATTTCTTAGATTTACATTCGTATAGAAACAATCTGGAACTCCTCACCTCAAAACCAAGTGATTCCTCAGCATTGCTTTAAATAAGTGTTTGGTTAAGAGTTGTGGTTTTCATTCCCAACTGAAATGTGTCTCCATGCAGTTGCTCTTGGGCCCCAAGCTTAAGGCCTTGGGAAGATGGCCAAGAGAGGGGGGGGGCACTTGCCTGCCTGCCCTTCCCTTGCGTAAGGACAGTGACTGGAACAGAGTTGTTACAGAAGCCAGGAAGAAATCAGTTGCGCGTCTCTAGTTTGCAAGCCTCAAAATCATAACAAGCCGTCCCTATGTAGCACCTCCCATTGGTAGATGGGAGAGCCCCTCACGATGGCAGTGCCTGGTTGTCCCTAAGTGTTCCTTCCTTCCACTACTCATGTCAGTTACTATGGACAGGTGGTGACCAGAAGTTCTAACAGGGCTGATTCTTTTGTCACACTGAAGTCTTGGCCCTTTCGTTACATCCCTCGGAGGCTCTGTCTTGGTTCCCAGTAAGTCTGCACCATCCCCGCAGAAATATCTCACCCCACCCGCAAATCCCCACAGCGCCTAAGAGTGAAGACGCCGCACAGACAGCGTCTTCAACAAACACCATCCCGGGGCCTCTGGCCTATATCATCCCGTTGATCTTAGTCCACTCGTAGATGTCCTGCTCACACACGATGTCGGAGTTGATGAGGAGGTATCTGTCGCCAACACAGAAGTGCTTCTGACAGGCGGCACATTTGAAACACTCCAGGTGGTACACTTTGTCTTTCACCCGCATGGTCATCTCATAGGCACGGATCCGCTTGTCGCAGGATGCACACAGACCATCTTGTCCAAAGAGCCTGGGGCAAAAGGAATGAAAAGCTAACATACGAGGGGAGAGACAAGATGGGAAGAAAAGGTTTGGTCATGGGCTCCACGGGGGAGACCAGATGTCCAGGGTTCTAGGAAGCTGGGACAAGCTGGATTCCAACCCAGCCTGGTGAGTCCTATCTGTCTTAGAAGGCAGAGGGTGACCAGGATGACACTGTGGCATTTTACTGGGTATGACTCCTCCTTTTGCTGAGCTTTCTGTCTTTAGCAACCATTCCCCACACCTCTAGGCCACCCCTGGTCACAGCGGTGAAGACACTCATCAAAGTGACTTGTGATTAGGGGTTAAATGTAGTGCATGTGCCCTCCCAGGGGAACTTTCCCTGTAGAAGAGGAGCTGGAAGAGAGTCCTCAGGGCCCCTTTGAGGGAGAACTGAAGTGTGAAGTGGCACACACTTATGATCCTAGCACTCTGGGAGGCTGAGACAGGAGGAGTCCAAGTTCTAGCCCAGCCTGGGCAACTCAGTGACTTAGTAAGACTGGGGCAAAGAGCCTCCCTCCACAATGAGCGGAAGATCTTCATTCATGGTCCTCACTTCCTTTTGACACAAATCTCCAGGAAACCTCTCTTCTAAATCAAGTCTGTCCTTGGCCTTCCTCGATTATCCACTTATCTCAAGCAATATTCAGTGTTGGGTCGGGAGATACAATTTTAGTAGAAGTCAACGCGGTGGTTCTCAAAATCTGGTTCCTACACCGGCGGGATCAGCATTCCCCAGGAAGCTGTCAGAAGTACAAATTCTCAGTAGGGTGTGGTGGTGCACTCTGTAATCCCAGCACTCAAAAGGCTGGGGCAGGAGGATGGCTGTGAGTTCAAGACCAGCCTGGTCTACACATCGAGTTCAAGACCAGTGTGAATTACATAGTAAAACCATGTCTCAAAACACCTGCTGGAGAGAAGGGCCGGCAGTCTGCATACTAATGACACTGATGCAGGGCTCAGTTTGAGAACAAGCCTGCAGGAGTTCAAAAACCCAGCTTTACAGTCCAGGACCAGACTTGGGTATCCGAGTGCCTGGTCTAGGCAGCATCACATCTCTACCTCACCTGGCTGTTGCAAGCATTAAACAGGGCAGGTCTGAGCATCAGTGGTCAAGAGCTAAGCCAGCACCGGCTCTGCCTGAACACATCTCAGTGTCATCCCAACCTCCCTGGCCTTCCTGCAGGGTCATCTGCACACTTGGCTGGTAACCCAGCACATAAATTCCTTAAGACTGAGTTAGGTAAATGCTTGTTCTTACTGGAAGTTCTTAACTTTAGAAAATCAGAGCATTGATCAGTTCCTGCTGAGAGGTTGTAAGGAAGGTGAGGGCTGCTGCCAGATTTTGCAACATCTGGGCAGAAAGACTGGGCTGGAGAAGAGGTGGCTCCATGAGTAGAGAGATCCAGTTAGCACCGGGCCAGCTCACTTCCCTCTGAATCTTGGTTTCCACCGGAGGAATCCAAGTGCTTCTAAGCACGGCCTGGGAACAGACTCGTTAGCGGGGGAGAACATTGGATCCTACCCCACCGCAGCAGATGGTGGAGCTGTAGGTTACCGCCGTGCTGGAGGTCACAGAGTGGAAAGAGTTCTGGTTTCCTGACTGTTCAGTAAGTTAAGTTTGGGCCTGAGCAGAGACGCATCATGGAGAAAACTGTGCTCAAAATGAGTCCAACTGCCTGGGGCTTGAGATCCTTAAGGAGGGAGCTTATTAAAGGGCAGTCGGGGGTAAATTACAACACATCAGGCAGCTAATGAAGGGAAGGAGAAAGCACTAAGATTTGGGAGACAAGTTCAGGTCCCTACATCACCTCTCAACAGCCAGGTGGCCTGAGAAAATGGCATTCCCTTTCTGGGCTTATGTGGCTTAGGCTGTGAACCAAGAGAACTGGGAGAGAAGGGCCTGAGAGCCCCTTTCAACGCAGGGACTCTGCGATTCTAACAGGAGTGAAAACAAAACACGCCTTGATGCTGAGCTCGAGCCTGGCACCAATAGTTGGCATTTTGCTAAAGCGGGATATCCCAGAAGCAGACCCTGATGGGGAGATTTGTGCAAGTGATTTATTAAGGATGTTCTCGGAGGAGCCCTGGGAAGCACAAGGGGAAACTGGATGAAGGGGAGGAAGCCAAGTTTCAGACTCAGCCAGAGTTCCTCAGAGAGAGCTTGGCCTGATGCTCTGGGACCTCTGAAGCTATTAAATCACGTCTCCAAGTAGCCCTGGCTCCAGGCTCCAGGCTCTGGGACTCCTTCCGAGTGTGTCCTCAGCAAATGCCCTGGGGTCTGGTAAGGCCTCAACACTTGTGTCTCTAACAGGTGCTAGTTAGATGTGGCACATGCCTGTAATCCCAGCACTCGGGATTGCCATGAGTTCAAGGCCAGCCTGGGCCACATTTAAGGCCAATATGAATTATATAGCAAGACCCTGTCTAAAAAATAGAAAAAATACCACTGGGGGTCTGGAGATGACACACCCCAAAATTGGCAAAAAAAAAAAAAACAACCCACCCAAGTCTAAGGAGATCTAGCCTGAGTAACAGCATTAATAGCTGAAGTTAGGTCCCCAACAATACAACATCGACAGGAGTTAGGTTCCGTACGGGGTCTCATAAATATTTGAGGCTAACTATCTGAAGAGGATAGTGGCAGGCAAGTCAGCCACAGGGAATCCTCATGGGGAGAAGTTATTCCAGAGAGATGAGGGATTGGACCCCATGAGGGAGTACCGAGACTCTCCTCCGACTTGCCTTGTTCAAAGATGCCATCAGATAGGCTAAGAATGCAAATAAAACAAGTCCATCATTGAGGCAAAAAATAATTTTTCTCCTCTGTCAAGAGGTGTCAAGTCTTAAGCTTTCTGCTGCCCATTTTAATAACAATAATACAAATATTAAAGGATGGCTGGGAACGCCCGCACGGACACTGAGTTAATTAACATGTTTCCTGGGAATGTAGCAGGGAGAAGAATTATTTCGTGTCACCAAGACACAAGTTAATTAACACTGGATTCTCCCAGACTATTTTTTTCTCTCCTTTTTGAAAATGGAAAAGATTAACAAGCCCAGGCAGCACTGGTTTTATTCTTGGATGTTATATAAAATCGTAGAGATAGGGCGAAACCCAGCTCTTTTGACCTTACTGTACTGCACTTCGTTTAATAAGATTCAAATGATTCGACAGGGATGTAGTCAGGAGCCCAGTGGGAATCATTTACCTGTCTGCTTTCTGACTGATTTGGCAGTATGGGAATGAGCAAAACCAGGTCTGTATTTATCCCAGTTCTATTTTCTTGTAATTTAAAGAAAATAAAAAAGGAAATCTACCAAAATTATAATCATGAGCACTGGAAAAAAATCCTACTTACATATTTCAGAACCACTAAATCTGCAAGGACTTTATCAGGAAATTTGGGAGAGGAGAAAAAGGGTAAGCACATAAGCTTCCTTTCAGTGTGGAATTAACTGCAGTTTTGGTGTTGGGGGGGTTAAAAACCATGTGAAATGCTCTGAGGGCAGATTAGGGTGGGACAGCTGGCCTGGCAGCCAAGCGCAATGAAGTCCAAGCCAGTTTCTGCGGGTTGGATGGGCCCAGTGTATTAAGACTGCATGCTCCATGGACCCTCTGCCACAGGAAGCTGGTGAAGAACTGACAGCTCCACAGCTGAGAAGATCTGACTGTGGAGGGCACAGAGCTACCTCTGCAGTAAATAGGAGAGTGCATACCCTAGAACCTGCCAGGAAAAGGCACTCGGTGAGTGCTGAAAATTCACCCGGCCAATCCTATGGCCCAGCATCCTCAGCTCCTGCCTCACTGAGATTTGTAGACTTTCTATTCCACCCTTCCATTCTTCCATCTCTCTGTCCATTGGATTAGAAAGTAATTCATGAGCCTGTCATACAGTTAAGTTTTAAAAGCAACCAACATCTACTTGATACTCATGCACTAAGGTACTTTCCATGTAGAATTCCATCTAATACTTACCTCTTCCTTGGAAGTAGACACCATTACTCTCCCCACTTTACAGACAAAGAACTTGAGGCTCATGGAGGTTAAGTAAGTTGCTCAAGATCAAAGAGCTAGGAAGCAACAGTGCTGAGACCCAGACTCCTGACTCCAGGTTCCTGCCTTTCTGTCCATTGAATGCCACCTTCCTACTATGGGAGTCAATGTCTGGAACTCCATGGCAAGAAAATGATTTCTATTTTTATATTTCTCATTACATATTATTGGAATAATACAATGTAATATTTATAGGCTATAGGATATATGTTTTGGGGGGAGTGGCATAGGACACTGAACCCAAAGAAATCATTGGGCTACAGACATGTTTATTTTGAGACAGGGTCTTGCTCTACCACAGCCTCCCAAACAGCTGGGAGTACCGGTATGTGCCACTGTACCTGGCCATATACAAGGGGTGATCAAAATATATGTGAACATTTACATTGTAAAAATTTATCACAGTAAAAGACACACTGGCATTAATTCCCCTCAAAATACTCTCCCCTCACTTCAAACAAATTATCCCATCCTTCTTGCCACTTTCTGATGTAGTTCTGGAAGTCCTCTTTTGTGAGTGTCTTTTTGTGGCTGCCTTGATGTCCTGAATTGATTCAAGACACCTACAGCAATTTCTGTCAAATAAAAACATTATGGTGTGTCCTTGTCCACCTTTTACACCAGATCGGGCACTGTATGACTTCTGGCTCTTCCCCAAAGATGAAATGACCAGGAAGATAAATGTTGTGAATCGATTCAGGACTTTGAGGCAGCCAGGCCAGCACAACTAAAGACAGTTATGAAAAAAAGACTTCCAGAACTGCTTCAGAAGGTGGCAAGAATGATGGAAGTGTGTTTGAAGTGAGAGGGGTATCTTGAAGGGATCAATGGCAATGTGTCTTTTACTATAATGAACTTTTTCTAACTTAAATACTCACTGTATTTTAAATCACACCTCATAGGTTTTGAAGCGTTAAAGTGAGTTCCTAAGAATATACCCCAAACAAAAACACTCCCGGATCCTATGATTCTTTCTGTACTCCCAGCCCTATCAACAGACAGAAGCACCATTCTGACTTTATTCATCCTTCTCTTACTTCATAAAACATCAGGATTCTATCAGCCACCGATGTGCCTGTCACTGGAGGATCTCAGCAGGAGGAAGAGCCATGCTGTGGCTGGCTCCTCTGAGGCTGAGGACCACATACCCAGACCCAGATGTCCCCAGGGGTGCAGGGCAGGTACCTGAGATAGTCCCTCCGGCACAGCTTCCGGCCCAGCTTGTAGTAGAGACGCCGGCCCACCTCACCCAGGCGGCAGCCACACAGGTCGCAGCTGAGACAGTCCTCGTGCCAGTACTGATCGATGGCCTTCAGGAAGTAGCGGTCCCCGATGTTCTGCTGGCAGCCACCGCATGTCAGCAGGGATGGAGGGATCTGGAGCACCTCATCCACTGGCTCCCTGGGGACGAGGCCAAGCATTAGGGACAAGCTCACTGGGTGCCAGAAATTGCTCTGGGCCAAACAGGGAGCCTCAGTCTACTGTTTTCCAGCAACGTAAGGAGAATGCATGAGACAACACATCCAATGGTGAGGTGGCAGAGAAACCTAGCCAACCTGCTAAAGCAGGACTGTGCTAGGTCTTGCACTCGAGACCCTAGAAGTAAACACAGCACACCAAGAGACCTGCAGGTGGCGCTAGGGCCCCACCCACAGCCTAGCACCATTGTGGACCCCTCTGGTCTTCTGCTTCTTCCTACCACCTCCTCAAACTCCTCTTCCTTCCCAGGCCTCTCTCTCTTTTTCCTCCTCCTGCACCCAAGACCCAAGACACTGGCTAACCCCAGGGGAGGCACTTAGGGCTAAAAGAGCTGCTTGCTGCCAGGACATCTGACTACCCAGAGTGCTAACACACTGCAAATTCCCTACTGACTTTTCATGCCGGTCCCAATGCACAACAGCAGAGGTAAGGAAAAAAGAAGAAAGGAGCCCAAATTATGTTAGGTTGTTCCTCATGCCAAAGTAAAAATCCGATCAGGATGTAACAGGAATTCTTATCCTATTAGCCGTAATTCTGCATCCCAACCTTCTGACTGAATTTTTTGTTGGAAATCACTATTAAGACAATTGAGGTCAAACTGATAAAGTACATCAGTTAGACTTTTCTTTCCTCACATGAAAACTTCTACAACAGCAAAGCTGACTGGAATAAAGTTAACTTAGGAGGGAAAAAAGTAGGAAGGGAGCAAAAACAATGATCCTAAGAAGAGTGGAAGACAATAAGGCAGATGCAGAAATCTCAATCCAGGCAATCCGTTCATAGTGAGCTACGATACAGGAAAAGGATATTCATACAGCTTCTCGTTCACATTGCTTCACTGGAACCTGAATCCTTCTGCTTTACATTTGAAAATAAGTAACTTTTCCGAGAGAAAATGAGTGCAAGGAATGGTTGTTGCACCAACTGGGAAATGGGGAAAAAAATACTTACAGATTTGTAACAATTAACAAATAATCTCTGGAACTTTAGCCAAACACAAACCTAGCTTTCAAAGATCTGGTTTTTTACAGACCTTCTTCTCACAGTGGAATTCCCAAAGGGAGTTTCCTCTTGGGCATCCTGGAGCTATAAATCTGTGCCTCCTACTTCCTCGTGGGACTTTTACCAGGTGACCTTGTGTCCTAATTGGCCTGTGCCCACTACGCTCAGCACCCATTATACTTAGACACAGTGAGACTCACAGAATCCATGTTTAAATGCCCTCTGACAACTGCAGGTGTCTCTATCCAGTAAAGGATGGACATTTAGGATTATTGCAAACCTAAGGTTGCAGTAAGAGTATGAGATTATCTTCTTTTAGAACAAGGAAGTGTAACACTTGTAACACTCAAACACCTTAGGATGGAAAACACCTCAGATAAATAGTTTTAAGACTGCTGAAGTCTTTGCTTCTATATGTGGTACATAAGGACTTCCAGCCTTCCATCTGAAAAATAACTGAAACCCTTGGCCTGTCCATGTGTATCAATCCAGACTTGCTTCTCCTCTTTCCACAGCCTATGATCTTAGTCTGGGCTTCCAGAAACACGTATGGAAGGAATCTCAGCCACCCTGGATGTTCTGACACTGCCTCTGCCAACCAACTGTGAAAAACGAGAATTTGCACTAAGCTGGTACAAAACCGCCTGGAAGGGAGGCAGCAGGGGCCACAGACTGCATGGCAGAGGAGATCTCTCTATTCATGAATTCTGGCTGTTTCCTGCCTACAAGCTTCATTTGTGTGCGCCTGGGCAAGCCTCTGGGTGTCTTTGGAGATGGGACTGGAATGACCCAAGTCAGCTTGGAGTGAGCAGTGAAGCATCTGCATAGCCAGAGAGTCAGCTGCAGAAGAAATGGAAACCAACAGGAGCCATGGTGATGGGCTGAGACGAGACACAGAAAGACAGGATAAGACACTGGCTCCACCTATCTTTTTGCAATTAACAATAATATCGCATTATCTTTGGTAGACAATTCAAGCCAATGACTGAGTGGGATCTGCCTTCAAATTAATACATGATATTTCCCCAGAGCCTATCCTATATATTACACCAGAGTATCACTTCAGCCTGGATTTCCGGGATAATTTCTTGACAATTTCCGGGGCAGGGTTGGAGGGAATGTACTGCAGCAATTTCTCAACTAGCCTGTCCACCTTCAGTTAAAAACCTGCCTTCACGGGCACGTAAAGGAGGGAAATATGGGATCCGAGATTCTCCCACAGTGAGCTTCCTGCTGGGCTATGAAGTTAGGATGCTTCGGTTGTCTAACCTCAGGGGAAAAGTACAAACTTTGGAAAGAGTAAACTTCCTTTAGGGGACCAAACCATCCAGACTTACCTTTTAATAAAAGGATTTGGGGCTAAGTACTGCTAGTGGAAAAGGCAGTGAGACACCAATTCATTCCATTCACTCGCATACAGTATTAGTATGGTCTTGCTTGATCTCTAGAAATTCAGAGCTCAGCTGTCATTCTAGGACTATAAAAAAGTGAACAAACTGTGCTTTACATCCATTGTTTGCATAGCCATCTACATTTTTTTTAAAAGGGACTGTTAGTTTTCTCCTGAGAATTTGGGTCTTTGTTACAACTAACCTTGCTCCTTATGGAGCTGGTGTCTTAACCTCAAGACCAAGAGTGATGTTTATATTCTCACTAGATCCTGGTACTTCCTGTGTTTTATGGGAACCTGCTGAGTTTTTATGCTAGTAACAGAGGGTAAAACCCAGGTAAATAAACACCACAGAAGGCTGAAATTAGGAAGGGGTGGCACTTCAAGCAGGAAAGCACAATTCTTTTCAAAGCAGGAAAAGGAAAAAAAAACCACTTGCCTCTTAAAAGCACAAATGGACAAGTCATTAACTAGCTCCTTTGGTCTTGTGTAACAAATCCCTTCAAAGGATTAGATGGGGACTTCAAAGGAATAAAAATTCAAAACCAGACAGCTAATGACTCTTAAAAGGGCATTTGCGTTGATGGAGGAAATGATACCTTAAACACCCCCTTGCTCCCCAAGTTAAAGCTACAGAATGGGCTGGAGGTATAGGTTGGGAATAGGTCATGTTCATTCCAAAGCAGTGCAAGGTTCAGCAATAGATGCAGCATATGCTCATTAGAGAGCTCTGGTTCCCTGACTCAAACCTTTTTGAGAGTATAATAAAAGCTATGAGATTTTGCTCCCTAGAAAAATACACCTATACACAAAATCGTGCACTAACTTTCGAGGCTCGCAGGCCTCCCTCGGTGGACGCCTGGGGAGCGGGAGTCCAGGTGCCCAGATTAACTCCGGACTCGCGGCCCTGGAAGTCTCCGGAGGCCCAGGCGAGCTCCGAGGTGGACAGGCAGACGGACCTCCCTCATCCGCCCGTTACCCGCGCTGCCGCAGCCGCTCCACCTGTGGACCCAGGGGGTCGTCGGGAATTCCGAAGGCCTCCACTTGGAATGTCCCCCTTTGCAAAACCAAACGGACAAAGAGAAGGAGCGAGAGGGGAGAAGCAAGCAGAATGGAGCCCTGAACGCTCCCCGGATGCACCTGCGCTCCTGCAAGCGCCCCTGTGCCTGCCGCAGTGCAAACTTTCTGGCCGGGCCGGGGTTTCAGGGGCTGTCCCTGGTAGCCCGGAGGGGCCCCAGAGGCTCCGTGCCGACCTCTATTCCTACCGCCCTCGGCCCGACCCCCTTTCTAGGGCCCCCAGAGTCACCTGCGAGGACGGAGGGGGCCCTGGCGCGCGAGGAAGAGGGGGTCGAGGGCGCGCTGGTGGGCGGACGGGAGCGCACCTGGGGCCCCTCTCGGGCCGCCCGCGCCACGTCGCTGCTCCGGGGCGCGAGGCCGTGGACACGGCGGGTGGCGGGGACGGGGAAGCCACACTTACTCGGACGGGTCCAGGCTCTTCCTCTCGATGGCCGAGGACATTGGGGAGGGGGGCGGCGTGCCGGGCGGCGGGGGCGCTCCCTTTGTGGCGCGGGGCTGACAGACTGCCGGGGCTCGGACCCCCTCGGGTGCTCGCGCGCCTCCGCCTCCGCCGCCGCCGCTCCGGCGCCTCCTCTTGCTCGGGCGCTCCGGCGGCGAGCTCGCCCCTCCGCTCTCAAGGACAGTCACCGCGCTGCCTTCAAACGCCAAAGAGAGAGAGCGAATCACCGGGCTGCGGGCGCGCTGCGGCCGAGGCGGGGGCCGGGGCGCGCAGCCTGGCCCCGGGCGGCTGCAGCAGCCGCGCAAGACTTAACCTTCCATCCCGGTCCCGCTCGCCGCCGTCGCCCCGCCCGGGCCGCCTCGCGCGCTGTCGCCGGCTCCGCGCCGCCCGCAGGGATGTGCGCGACCGCCCGGCCGCCCCGAGCCCCTCGCCCTCCGGCCGGGTCGCGGCGCGCGGCTCGTCGCCGAGGCGGAGCGGGGGCGGCGGCCTGGGGACGGGAGGAGGGGACCGCTCGCCTCTCCCCGGGCTTCCTCCTCTCTCGGGAAGGTCTATTTTCGCTCAGCTTCCCTCTGTCTCTGGTTTCATTTCCTTTTTCCTGATCACGATTCAAATACAATAGAAGGAACTCACATTTAAAGAGACAGCTGCCCGGTCCCCCCTCCTCTTTCTTCTTCCTTGTATTTTTTTTTAAACGGGGCTCCTGGGGATTAGCAATACAAACAGCCGCAGTCGGACTGATTGGGCTTCTTAAAGGGGCCAGCGATGGGGACCGAGAAAGTCGCTCGGAAAGCACCTCTCCTTGGAGAGGAGGCTGGGCTGCCACTAAATCATCCTGTAGGGTTTCCCCCTCTTCCGCGTTTTCCCCTTCGGTGTAACTAAGGCTGAAAGTCATCACCGGACATCCCGAGCAAGAAAGAAAAAGACAAGAATGTAAAAGGAGCACCTGCAGAAATGCGGGCGTTCCGCGTGGCTCTCGTGCGCGCGCGTCCCGGGTTCGAGGTCCCAGGTCCAGGGGCGCAGGGCGCGGGGATGCCCGGCACGGCGCGGCTCGGCGGCGGCGGGGTTGTGCTTGCGTCCGCGCTCCAGAGAGGCGACGGAAGCAGCGCGAGCGGGACCGCCTGGGCTGGTACGCCTGGGCAGTGCTGGGGGCAGCTAATCCCGCAGGGAGGGTGGCTGGGAGGGACCACGCAGGTCCGGGTCTCTTCTCCATCTGCTGGCGGCAGAATTCCCTCTCTCAGCATCTTTCAAAGAGCGGACTCCTGTGGTTCCCCTGACCCCCGTAAAGTGCCAGTAATACCGCGACTACTGAATGCTTTTCCGATAGAACATTACTGCGGAGATTATTTTGCCCTCAGTAGGGCAAAAAGAAAGAAAAGAGATGTAATTTGGGCCTTCACGTTTCTCCTCCCAGCCCCAGGGCAGGTTCTAGGGAGAGAAAGGAACGCGCGGGCTAACACTGTGCCCTTCCACAGAGAAAAACTTGGATTCCCTTGGGCCTGAGTTCAGGGAAAATTTCTAGGTTCAGAAATGACTACCCAAGGCCCGTTTGTGCACGACGGTAATCAGAGGTGTAAAGAATCCGGGGTCAGGATCAAAGGCATCTTATTCCCATTTTAAAGATACCACTGCGGGGCCTGGGTGGGCTCATACTGTAAGATGGTGGTCGAAGCCAGAAGTGAATTCCTGGCCGTTTCATTTTCCCTCTTCAGAGCTCAATCTTCATTGACATTTCACAAACAGAGCAAGAATGTACTGCTGTTTGTAGGCTCCTAGCGTATTCTAGTCTCCAGGTGCCATGGCTTGGGCCCTAATGGATATCATTACAGTGTGTGTGTGTGTGTGTGTGTGTGTGTGTGTGTGTAAGGAAGCCTGAAGGGCAGCCTTGCGTCCAAGTTGGACCCTTAGTATATAAAAAGACATTTGCCTGATCAGACCCTTGCTTTCAATTAAAAAAAAAAAAAGAGGGCCAGGGATTTACCTCCATGGTTCTGGCACCTGCCTCGCAAGCGCAAGGACACGAGTTCAATCCCCGGTACAAAAAAAAAAAAAGAAAGAAAGGAAGAAAGAAAGAAAGAAAGAAAGAAAGAAAGAAGAAAAAAAATAAATTAAAAAAAAAAGGAAAAAGAAAGAAAGAAGGAAAATTCCTAGAATTTTTGGATAAGCCTAAATTAAATGAGAAATATATAACCTACCACTCTACAGTCATTTCTATCAAATGACAGTACACACATAGGTTGTGATTATGAGCTTATGTGCTTAAAATCAGTCAATGTTATAGTTAAATGCTGAGACTTTGGGACTCAGCTCTCTGGGTTTGAGCTCTTGTGTATCTAGCCAGTGTAACCTAGGAAAATTCTTAAATCTAAGTAGGTAGTAGCTCAGGATTCTGGCCAACTGTATTCTAACTCCTCTTTTACCACCTGGAACCTGGAATAAGAGCAGGAGTGTAAAGTCCCAATATCCTCATCTGTAAAATGGGAATGGCAGACTTTGTGGCATAGCGTGCCACAAGGATTCCATGAATTAGCATGTACAAAGCATAGCAGATAGATTTGTAATGAAATGGAGTTGTAATTGACATGAAATTGATTGCATAGAAAGCACCTTGCATATATTAGAAGCTTGTGAATGGCAGTTCCTATGTCATAGCAAAAGACATCATAGAGATAACATTTAAAGGTGGAATTGGGGGTTTAAAATAAGAATTTCCAGCTGGGCTTGGTGATGCACACCTGTAATCCCAGCATGCAGAAGGCTGAGGCAGGAGGATCACCATGAGTTCCAGACCAGCCTAGGGCACATAGTGAGTTTGAGTTCAAGGCCAGCCTGGACTACATAGAGAGACCCTGTCTCAAAAATAAATAAGTAAATAAATAAAATTCCCAGCTGGATGTGGCAGCACACACCTGTAATCCTAATACAGGGAGGCTGAGGCAGGAGGTCAAGGTCAGCCTGGGTTACACAGTGAGACCCTGTCTCAAAAATAAATAGATAAATAAATAAGAATTTTTCCACTCACATTAAAAAACTGTTGCCTGTATTAATGCAAACATAGCAAGGTCACCTCATCTCCTACCACTCCTAAACAAAGCACATATGACTTTTTCATTGTAATGTTTGTTTTTTGTGATAGATGCTACTTGTGCATCTGCCTGCCTCTATTATATCTGGTAAGTTATTGGCTTCCTGGATACAGTTTTCTGTGGGGCTCAAATTAGTTATTGAAAATAAATCTATCTTTGGATTCCAAGAGGTAATTCAGAACATCCAACTTTTGTACATAAAGTTTCCTTTTAATACTGTGCTTCTGCTTTCATCTGAATGTGTAAAGAAAAGGAGATGACTGCATATGACTTTGGGTCAGTTTCTTATCTTCATAGCTCTTTGGGGAGAACTTCCTTCGAGACAGAGCATATTTGAAATGGTATCTTAAGATTTCAATTTCACACACAGTGGTTGTAAGAAATAACTTCCTACTGGTGGGATTTCATTTCTATTCAATGGGCAATTAAATTGCTCAAATTTAGGTTTAACATTTAGAATCAGATCTCAAAATGTGTTTTTATTATGTATAATTTTAAAGCAATCATGACCTTATTGTCTCCTCCCATAGCAACCAATACCTACCTTATACAGAAAAGAGAGGCGGTCGCTGTGAAGTGATTTGAACATGTAAAATGGTTCTTGAGAGTTGAGGAAATCTGCTCTTGATCCCTGCCCAGTGGGACCAAAATCCAATTCCTTTTCCTCTCCCTGCACTCCTTGCAATTTAGAAAATTTCCAAGGTTTTCTTCTTGAATAAGAATGTCATAAGAAGACTGAAGCAGTCTGCATGATGAATCTGACCTGGAGTGGATTATTTTTCCAGTGGGTATATTTTCTATTATTTTTTGCTTATTACATTTACCATTGTTTTCTAGGGAAGAATAGTTTCAAGTGACTAAGACTACATTTCTTTGCTAAAGTGAACTTCTGATAAAAATGAAAATGCAAATGTCATTGGGAAAATGCCAACAATGACAATTTACCTCTTCCTCCTGCCCAACCATTAGAAGCCAAGTTGCAACATATGCCTTGTTAGTTGTGACATTTGCAAAAATGAAGATCTCTTTTGATCTAGCTTCAGCTGCCATGCAAAATTTTTTAAACATTTCAGTTGTCTTAAGCATCCAGCTCCCAGGCTCATTCAGAACATTTCAGGGTCAGGTGGTAGATGAGTTTTCGTGGAATGTTACTTCTATTAGTGACCTTAGTGATAAATAAATCAGGTTCCCCATACAGTAGGAAAGACCTCAAAATAAATCTTTTTTTTAAAGCCAACTGGGGCTTAGAAGAATAAGCATAGGAACCAGGTAGACATAGTTCAGCTATGTACAAGCTCTGTGACTTAGGGGAAGTTATTCACCTCTCTGAACCTGTTTCTGTATCTGTCACTGGAGTGATAGTATAGCACAGCAGGGTATGACTAGGGTAAAACATCTGGGAAGGAAGCCTACTCATCTTGTAGGGATTTTCAGAGGTGTAAATAGGATGGTATGTGTAAAAGCACTTTTCACAGTGAGGGTGTACAGAGAATGCTTAGAAATAATCATTGTTGCTGTTATCCCATCGTTCAGGAGTAATCACCCCCATATCAGAAAGCAACAGTCTCCCAGCTAAGCAGGACACCCACCAAAGAAGGCTAACCCTGAGGTGCTGTAGAGGAGCTGGGGTGAGCCTGCGGCATCGGCAGGCCCTAGGAACAGGGAGTCCCATCTTTCAGCCAGAAGTGCAGGACTGTGCCTGTTTGAGCCCCTGGTAAACTCTTGACACCATCCTGTTTTCCCACTACACTGTTTGCCTCAGCCAAGCCCCTGATTTCATTCACCTGACTTTCTCCTTCCAAACCCTCTAGACTGCCTTTTAAGACCAAGAAAAGAAGCAAATCCAGATGCTGACGGTCATGTCCCTGAATGCCACAGTTCCACAGAGAGGACTCAGTGGGATTAAGCTCATGTCCTAGCAGAAGGGACCTGAGAAATGTGGTTTCCTAGCTGGCTCCTTGGAGCACCTCCCTCGTGGGCTGCACCCACCCTTGCTTTGCCCACAGCAGCTTGGCATTTATTGACCATGGGCACATTGCCCCACTTCTGCACTTCAGCTCCCACATCTGTAAAGTTGCAATATTCAGGGCACCTGAGTTTTTGCAGGGTTCTGTGAAATGAAACAGGTATGGAGAAGAAACTAGCATGGAAAGGCGGAAGCTTGCATAGTTACCTCCTATGGAATATCTTAGGGGAGTCTAGCTTTAAGGTATTTGAACACCCATGGGTGATTCAAACGCTTTGATGCACAAGGTAAATGAGACACACTGAGTCGACTCTGACTTGTTCATGTTCTAACTCTAGATGTTTTGAACGCCTAGAGTGCACCCAGCCTGCAGCTGACCTTCAATACATATTCGTTGAATGAATGAATGTACAAGCGGCAGGCCAGCTCCCGCAGGCCACAACATGCCTGGACAATGCTCTCTGGGTAAATAACAGTGGCGAAGGACCTTAAGCTCCCTTGTCTTTCTTGAGCATCACTTTTGGAATAAGAATGCATGTTCAGATACCATTCCCATTTAGCCTAAGATTTTGGTTTTTGAAAGCAACAAGGCTCTTGGCTCCCAGGGACACCGAGATACAAGTGGTACCATCAAACAAGGCACCTTGACACATGACCCTCCACTGCAGGCCCCCAAAGAGCCAGGTGAGATGTGCAGTAAATCATTCTGGTAAAAGCACAGGCTTGGAGTTAGGCTTACAGTTGAGTCCTGGCTCCTTTATGTGGTTTTAGGCAAATTATGTAACAGCCCTGAGCCTCCATTTCATCATGTGCAAAATAGGTATAATAATATCTTGATCACGGGGTTGTAGGGATAAA